CCCCAAAACCCCAAAACCCCAAAACCCCAAGATCCTCACTCCATTGAAGTTTAGCCATGATGCAAGGATAAGTCACTGATGTCGAGGAGACTCTCCCTGACCACATGGGATGTGTTGTAGTAATCCAGGTTCTTCTTGCAGATCTTCGGGACTTTACTCTGAAACATAAGTTCATTACATACCTCGATAGTGTCGTCCTGCTTCGTGCTGATAGTGCTGATGTTGAGGTCAAGCAAAAACTTCTGCTTCTTCTTGTTTTTGTGTTTTGCCCTTATGACTTTACAGTCAGACTCTTCTTCAAAATCCTTAGAGGGACACATAAGGTCATCATGCGATGAAGTAAGAGTCTTGAGCAGTTTGATCTTCTTGAACTTTTTCTTGAGATAGTTGATTTCTTTATCAAATTCTTTGCGGATAGAGCCAACTTCAATTTTATTTGCTCTCAAGTTCTTGATGTCTACACTGACTGGCTTTCTGAATCTGGTTGATTTTCTAAAATATCACCACAAACTTACTTGACAGAGGCTGTTAATCTCAAGATTTTTAAAGTGAAGTTCTTGAGAATGCCCTTGTTCGAGGCTATCAATATACCTTTCTAATTTCTCATTCTGACTGCAAATAATCCACAAAACTTACTCTGTGAGCCCATAAATCATTCTGGCATCTCTGGTTCTCTCGAGGCTTCTCTTTCTTTCTGCACATTCGTATTCGTACCTCTGGCGAGCAAGTTCATTTCTGAGGAAAGCGATTTCTGAGAGGAGAGCTTCCTTCTCTTTGTCAACTTCTTCAGGTTTCTTTCAGGCAGTCCTATTGGTAACAAGTGGCGAGTCTCCTAAATCTAGAAATGAGCTTGTCCTGCTAAAAAGGTGTGAACACAAAGCAAGATGAAGTACCTTCATGTTGCTCATTATTATGGCTCTGATGAGTTTTGGGTGTGTCAATGTTTTGTTCAATCTCATTTTCACTTGTTTCAGATTCTATTTGAAGCAAAATTACGATGACTCAAGAGGAATAATTACTTGTAAAACAGACATTACTGATAACTGATGCCATGCAAAGAATAATTTAGATAAGATTTCTAGTTGAGATTCCAGAACTAACACAAACTAAATTCTTGTAACTAAAAGTTTGTCGAAAATATTTGAAACTAAGCTTCACGAATATCAAGACTGGAGATGAGATTCTTGAGAAACCTCAATTGTTTATATTCTGATTATGATACCTGACTCTCTTAAGACGTCATCAAGACTCTCATGAGAACGTGAAATAATATGTCTGGATCATTCAGGATCTCATGGAATCACTTCTGGAGCTTTGCAATCCTCAACGATTGTGACAAGTCGTCAAGTATCGATTTCAGAGACATCCTCTCTGACAGTGGAGCAAGGGGAGCTGAGTCTTCGAGCAGTGATGGGAGGAGAAGACATTTTGAATTCCAAATTTAAATTTGAGAATTAATCAGGGGTTTTGGGGTTTTGGGGTTTTGGGG